GAAGTAGAAGTAGAAGTAGAAGTAGAAGTAGAAGTAGCAGTAAGCGGAGGAGGAGGAGGAGGAGTAGGAGTAGGAGTAGGAGTAGGAGTAGGAGTAGGAGTCGGAGTCGGAGTCGGAGTCGGAGTCGGAGTGGGAGTAGGAGTAGGAGTAGGAGTAGGAGTAGGAGTAGGAGGAGGAGGAGGAGGAGTAGTAGTAGTAGTAGGAGCAGCAGCAGCAGGAGCAGCAGCAGCAGCAGCAGCAATAGCTGTAGCTGTAGCAGTAGCGTCGTCGCCGTGGTGGCGGCGGAAGTGCCTACATGACACAGTCTTGGAATTTGCCCTAAGCGAACTGGTGCAGGGTTACACTTCCACTGGGCCCTATGCGAAGAAGAGGGACGGACGGGATGGAGAGGACCAAGAACTTGAACCGGTACCAAATTTAGATCCTTGCTGTCACAGCTCCGTTGCTGAACTTGTAAGCTCGCCCAAAGGAAATCGTGTCATAGGCACATTGGCCTATGCAGCCTGCCAAAAATCCTTGAATCTACACACCATAAACCTCTAACCTTCCGGCATGCACAAAGGATGCCTGGGTGTCGTCGGCTGTGCTCATTTCAGCTTCTGGCCGCCTCTCGGACAGACATTTTAGGCATGTGCTGTCGAAAAGTCTTCGGTCTCGTTCCGGAGAGCAGACATCAGAATTGGAAAGGTACAGCACCACTAGATAGATAAGCTTGGGATACGATGGTGGCAATGACTTAATGATTATCCAATGCCAAAGTAGTTGTAGTCTGTTGGAAATCGCTCTGGAGGCGGGCCGGTCAGTGGGTTGATTTCGTGAACAAAGAACATGTCCTCTCCATTCATTAGAGCTTGTGAGACAACACAAGCTCCCATCCGGCCAGAGTACACGGGAAACACGCTGAAGGCATCACGAGAGCCTGGCGAGGCGTGAGCATCAGCATTGGCAGTAAGGAAAAACGGCAGCACAATTCAGGCCTCTTTCCCGGGCTTCAGAGTGACATGCAGCTGTGCCGCAATCGATCAAGCGGCCAGTACATCGCCAAGCATGAGCTCTGGGACTGCAATGTGGCTATCGAAGATGCAGCAAAATCCTTCAGCCTTCCTAGCGAGTGAGGGCCCCAGGCCATCGCAAAGGCTAGAATTAGTCTGCTGCTCTGACCATCGAACGTGCGCTCGCGCGAATGGTGTGCGGCAGTGGGCATCACCACTTGACGAGGAGCCAGTGTGCCAGCATGGAGACAGCGAGAAGAGGCCACGATCATGCTCGACGAGCAAGCACACCCAAGCAGGTTTCCGGCACACCCGCCTTTCTGATTGCCTTTGCTCCGTAGTGCTTCGCATGAATACTCTCAGGGATGGCGGCTGCCATCTGCAGGACGGCTGCTTGGCCAGTGTTTGAGAAAGCGTTTCATGGACCAGCTCGTCGGCCGGGGTCTAGCTTTTGCAGGGAGCACGGTTTCTCCAGTAAGTCAAGTACCTTTTCCGTGTATCAGTGCATGTTTTGAGCAATCGTATGTTCTAGGTGTTACACTAGCACATCCTTTCACAACTTCTCGTCTCGTGATACATCTCACCGTCGTGCAAGCCATCGGGTCCCATCGCTCCGAGCCTTCGTTACAATTTCTAGTACATAGCAAGAGTTGTTTTCTACGTTGTCAAGTAGGTGTTATTCTTTCGATAGTGCGCTCCTGTATTATGCAGTGTTTCCTGGCAACAGTCCATGGTCTCCAGTTGCATCTCCTCGCCTTCTTCTGTTCACCAATTGCCGCGCTTTACTGTCGCTTGGTGTTTGCAGTACTCTAGGCTTCTACTGCAGACTGAGTGAGTGAGTCAGGGAGCTAGGCAGTGTTTTGTGTGTGGGCGGTGGGTGGGCAGGAAGACTGCTGGCCCTGTTTGATGCATCGAACGGATATGCATGGCAGGGTAGGTTCCCGGGAAGGCATCGGAGTCCCAAAGGCTTGCACCCACATCCAGTCGACGCGTCCTGAAGTCTAGACTCTAGACCAGAAGGGGTCAAGAGCACCTTCGAACAACTTTGGTTCCAGGTGCGGCGACACGTCACACAACTCCTGGTGCCACGGCAGGCCCACCCAAATGTCAGGAGGAGGCCGGGCCAATCCCAAAATAGCTGCTAGTGGCTGGATTCGGGACCGATCCCCAAGGGCAAACAAGTGCCAAGCCTGCTTTTCAACGTCGACATAGTGGGGGAAACGCCAAGGGAAGGATTCGATGCTTCCGCTTCGAAATCGATTCGTGCGGATCCTAACCCGAAAAGCTTATTAAGGCTGCAGTAGCTGACCAGCAAAGAGTCGCGCCAAGCATCTGTGGCGAAGGCTGTCCGGCCTGTACATGCCAACTTGGTGAGACGTCCAGAGACTGCTGTTCTGCTTGTGCAAGAAATGGGAATGCTAGCCGGGGTCACCTTTTTTGATATTAGGGTCTCCTCCGGCGGGGCAGGTCATCCCAGTGTACCACTACAGACACGACCCGGTCGACATGCATGGCCAAGGTGGGAAGCGCAGGGTCGGTTTTCGGTCACATTATAAACTACACGTTACGCTATGTTCTGTTTATATAGATATCTAAATATCTATCTATCTATCTATCTATCTATCTATAATATATAAATATATATATATATATATTTAATATACACATATGTATGTAAGCGTTTGGAGGCATAGTTCGTGGGTTGCAAGAAACACAGCACTAGCAGCTCATGCATGGGACCTTGGTGGTTTGCAGGCTGGGGCGTTCAGGATTCAAGTGTTCAGCTTCAAATGAAAAGTCCGAACCCTGTGAATGCCCCAAGCCTCAAACTTAAGCCCTAACCCGCGCCGTTAGAGCGAATTTTCAACAGCCGGTTGTTTCGAGCTCTCTGGCATTTCACGCATGCTGCTTTCCAGCTGACTTGCCAGTCTTCGATCTTGCAAACGTGGTCATGATGTGCCCGGATCATGCCGGAAAAACAAAGCCTAGCATAACACAGCGTAGCATAGCATAATGATGTTATATAACAGAACATATGAGAATGCACCATTGCATTATATTGGGGCCCCGGTCCAGCAGAAATCTCGAAAGGCACTCGAATTCTTGATCTGTTTCGGAAGCCTCAGGATTCTTGTTGACGCACTTCTTGAACCCGAAATCATCAGCCGGGACCAGAAGGGGTTCCTTGTTTCGAGCGCCGAAGTCTCAGTGAACTCTGTTTGCCGAGGCAAGACTTGGGAACACGATTGGCAAGCCTGTTCTCGCAGAGCTCTGGCTAAATTCTGAATTTCAAGCAGGGTTTTTGAGATGGTCGAGGTGCTGGGTCAGGTTCCAGGTCCCAGGCACTGCTGCAATGTTTCAATGTAGGTCGGCAAGAGACGCGGCGAAGTTACTACCAGTCAGCTCGGAAGCCTCGATGTTGCCCCCACAGTGCCTGAAGACTCCGGGAAGAAGGAATGGAACGGGGAAGGGTGACCTGCAGAGACCGCATCGCTGCGTTGTGACACACTGAATCTTACACCTGCCTACCCTGAACCCCATACTCGGAGTATCCCCACAGACTTTGCAGAGAGCCAGAAAAGAAGTCCAATCCCCGGGTCCACGATGCAACAAGCCCGAAGCCTGCTTGCCTGTACCTGAGGATGTGCAAGAGTGCACGGATGCGCACATTTCAGCTTCTGGCCGACACTCGGACAGTGACAGCTGCCAAGAAGCCTTCGGGCTTCGGATTGAGGGTTGTTAGTGTTACGGTTATTCGTGGTGGTAGTGGTAGAAGTGGTGGTTATAGTAGTAGCAGTAGTAGTAGTAGGAGGAGGAGGAAGTATGTAGTATGTAGTAGCTAGTAGCTAGCTAGTCGCTAGTAGCTACTAGTAGCTAGTAGGTAGTAGGTGGTTGGTGGTAGGTGGTAGGTAGTAGGTAGTAGGTGGTAGTAGTAGGTAGAAGTAGGTAGTAGTAGGTAGTAGTAGGTAGTAGTAGGTAGTAGTAGGTAGTAGTAGGTAGTAAGCAGTAGTAGTAGTAGTAGTAGTAGTAGTAGTAGCAATACCGCGGCAGGGACACTCCCAAAACCACCGGGGGTAACAAAGATCTGTCATCACCTGCCTGAGCTTTGGCATAGACGCTGCTCACTGTGTGTTGCTCACTGTGTGTCCGGTTCATGTGTGGAGAATGTCCATAGTGATCACATTAAGGTTACCGAGAACGGCCTGCCGTCTTTGACATTCAAACGAGCATCCCCTACGAGGTTGTTTGGTACTGGGAGGTCCATTAAACAAGTCTACGGCATCTGTCATGCGAAAGAGTCTGGGTGGCTGATCGACAGGACGAAGTCTTAAGTCTCAAACCCCGCTTGAGCAGCGGCACCCATAAATTAAGCCCGTGCACAAGCCGGGTTCGCGCTGACAGTCCCCTACAAATCCTTTCCAAACGAGCTGAGGGACAAAGGCTGCCATTTGCAGCACGGCTGCCCGGCCAGTTTTTGAGAACCTGGGAGGGTACTGGATGGAGGAGCTTGAATCGAGAAAACATGCCTGCTGCGACTCCGAAGCCTGTCTTTACAGATTCTCAGCCCCGCGATCATTCTGGAAATCCTTATATCCCTGAGTCTCAACAGAAGCAAAGGTTGGGTCGTTCTCAGCACCTCAAAGTCACTAAAAAGCAGCTGAGAGATGCCCAAGAAGGGCCCTTGCCTGCCAGGCTGGGCAAGCAGGATACTTGATTGGGACGTGATTACTGGCCCGCCCCCGAAGGCCCACTGGTGCCTCTCATTCTTCGTACGTTTGATGAAGGAGGGTCCTTGGAACAGGTCTTTCGGGTCCAGGATTTGGAGCATCTTGTTCCTCGGAGCCGTCTGACAGTGGCAGCTGGGTGTTACGACTAGATCCGCGTACGTCTCGATACCATGCCCTTGCTCAAAGCTGTCGTGACAATCTTGGACTGTTCTGTAGTGTCGCGCGTTTGATCTTGAGCACAATTCGTGCATCATGACGACCCCGCTCACGGCTCTTTTCCGGAAGGCCCACGCCAAGCCCCGGGTGTTTTTGCCGCAATCCACTGTTTTTGTTGGACCATTCCGGACAGAACCTGTTTTGGCGAGCTGGACATCCGGTTGCATTTTACCGCTGACATCCCTCAGGTATGCTCTATGCCGATGTGAACCCTCCCATCCCACCACGCCCCACCTCCAGATTGCTGGTAACCTCCGTCAGCTACACATGCCGGTGTTTCGTTATCCCCGTCAGATACTGTCTATCCCCCATCAGAGGAGTGCGGTTTGAGCGATGTGCACCCTGAAGCCTTGAAGCTGTAAGCTGTAAAGCCCGAAGTCCTACAGACGTGCTATCACCAAAAATTCATGGAACCCTTTGCTCCAGCTTAGCAGCTTGAAAGTAAACATGCCTGAGGTTCCAAGCCTCCCTAATGTGTTGCTGCCAGGTTACATGCCGGACGATTCACATCTGGGACCTACACGGCAATATCTACGACGGTCCACGAGACGATTTTTCGACTTGGGGCAGGACCGGCGATTGAAAAGACAAGATCCACTGGGTTTAGCCAAGCATCGAGGGTAGCAAAAGGTTACTGCAAAATCGACCAAAAGGATCTTGAAGCGTAAAATCCCTTCGGAACCTTGCTGCAAAAGTCCGTGCGAACAAACTTCAAGTGAATCGCTACAGTGCTAGTCTTGCCTGGCGACCTGAAGCGGACAAATGATCCCTTGGGTCTAGGGTTTGCGGTTTAGGGTTTATTGCCCTTCCCAGCCTCAGGGCGGACCAGACACATGCCGAGAGTTTCTTTCTAGAGACAGTGCAGAACACGGGGGTAGTCCCAGAGACCCTTTTCAAGACTCCAGAGCTCTCCGGCGTGAGGGCGGCGGGACATTCGCAGAAGATCAGCTTTGGCTTCCAGTTCATCCAATTTGGGCATTTTCGCTTGGGCGCTGCCGACGACACGCACCTTTCGCTTTCGTGCCCACGGCCGCACTCATATAGGAGTCGGGGGGGGCAGGCGCCCACACATGGTTCCACATCTAGTAGCTTCAGGGTGCGGCGTCGGGACTTGGATGTCGCCGTTGCAAGTTCCTGCGTGATTCGGAACTGTGGCTCACCCACAACAGATTGCAGGAAGGCTTTGGGGCTGTAGAGATGGGGGCGGCTTGTTCTGTTCAGGTGCTTTCAGGCTTCTGCGCTGACCATTGGCCTCTCTCTCCGCCAGAAGCTAGTGAGGGCTTGAATTCAGTATTCCGAAGCCTTACCTCCAGACAGAACCAAAACTAAGGCACAGCAATGGCTACACCATGCAGATCTTCAAGGACAACGGCTGGGTTACCGGCCACCGCCGACGGCGGGGCCAGGAAAAGGAGCGGTTGGGGGCTTGAGCTTTCTAAAGGAAAATCTTGTAGGTCGGTTCGATTCTGATCAGCCATGCTTCGGTTACAAGGTGCGAATGTTTGACTGAAGGGCCACTCGAGCCCTGCCTGGTATGGCACAAGACCGCTTTGCCGTGTAAGGTTCGCAGATTCAGTGGTTGCAGGTTGCTATTCGGTTCGAGGGAAGGCATTAAGACAGGCTAGCCTTGAGTCCTAAGAGTCCTAAGAGTAGTAAGAACAATGAATTCAACTTGCCGCCACCTGCCACACCTTATAGGGGTTGTTAGACTGACTGCAAAGCTTCAACCTACAGCCCTGAGCCGAAACTTCCCTGTATGCCAGGACCACGGGACTTGGGATCGTCCGGTGGGGGCACCTTTGGGCATCAGCTATGGTGACAGGCCATTGCAAAGCGGGTTTTCATGTGATCCTCCAAGGACCTTCAGAATCGGGAGGCCTGATTGAGCTACATTTTCGCACACCTGGCTGTCTCGGAATGGCCGCCCCCACACACTGATAGATTTCGGCAAGGGAAGAGGTCAGGACAGGCAAAGGAGGGTGGTGGGGTTTTTTGCTGTTGAATGAAAACACAATGTAGTTGATGATGGTGACGGCAACGAAAAATGAGATGAAGTTTTGGTGCCATGTAATTATGCCAGACCAAAGGAATGGCATACGATAACAGGATGACATGATCCGTGCGGGTTGACGGAATCACGCAATACGTAGTGAGATGAAGGTGAAAATGAGAATGAGTGTATCCCCCAGCTGCCCGCGCTGGGGCCCAGGGCGGATACAAGCAGGTACGTTTTCACGGGCCTGGGGAGGGGGGTCGTTGACCAGGACCCCCTCCCCACCCCTCCTGGTCCCCTGCATCGAATGGAGAATAAACTACGAAAGCCTAAAAACCCCCCAAAACCCTAAACCCTAAATCGTCACAATGGTTGTGACCCCCTGCGCCCACGTGCTAGGACGGTTCTCTCTCTCTCTCTCTCTCTCTCTCTCTCTCTCTCTCTCTCACACACACACACACACGCATAGCAGCAGCAACAACAACATCAAAAAATACGCAGTAAATCCCTGCATTTCTGACAACACGAAGTCTAAAACGATAGGTCTTGGCATCGCACCGGGGGGAGCTACTACTACTACTACTCCTCCTCCTCCTGCTGATGCTGCTGCTGCTGCTGCAACTCACTAATAATTACTACTACTACTACTACTACTACTACTACTACTATTACTACTGCTACTACTGCTACTACTGCTACTACTGCTACTACTGCTACTACTGCTACTACTGCTACTACTGCTACTACTGCTACTACTGCTA